CCCCAGATGGCTTTAAGAAGGTCCCATACCAACCCTGGACACTCTGCCCCTGGACTTACTGTTTTCTGCACATAAGAGCTAATTTGTTTAAGCCGCCGTTCAATCAAGTTTTCTGTTACTCACAACCAAACACAATCCTGTTTGATTTATGAACCTAAGTAATATCTCACTAGGACGTGGTCTGAAAGGAGAGAGAAATACGGAGCAGTGGTGACATGATTAAATCCCCTGAGTTGGAGTTAGTTGGCTAACCGAGCTGCATGTAGCCAGTCAAATAAAAAGCCAGATATCGCAGACGGAAGAAACTGAACTGCAGGGACAACGTGATGTTTAACCCTCAATCTTTCATTTATTGGCCACAGTGAGGTTGTAAGACTCCCATGATATCTTCTGCTTCGCTTTCCGATTGCTCTGGGCCCATTGCGGTCTTCTTAAGGCCAACACAACTTTCAAGTTGCCAGCGTCAGTGGACCCTGTTTCCTCATTCACCTCTCAGGAGGACGGTGCAGCAGGCCACTTCCTCCTTCTCCAAACAGCCTCCTGTCTGCCCACACTCCTCTGGCCCACCGACATCTCTGCTGTACCTTCTCTGCAGGCCCATCCTCCTCTACACGACTGCCAAATGTTGGCATTTCCAGGCACCTAGCTTGGGCCTTCTCTCTCTCTCTCCACCCTCAATGATCTCTCCATTCCTTTAACTAACAAATACCATCTTCATGCTCATGACCCACAGATTTATAACCTCCCGAACCTCCCCCTCCAAGGCCCAAATTCATGCAAGTGTTTCCCTGACTTCTCCACCCAGATATGGCACGCATGTCTCAAGCCAGGTGCATCCCAAACTAGACACTCGAGTGTCTGTCAACAAAACGTGGTCTAGCCACACGATGGCACGCTATTCAGCAATGAGAAGGAACAGAGTCCTGAAACATGTGACGGGGTGGATGAACCTGGAAATTACAAGCTTAGTGGAAGAAGCCAGTCATAAAAGGCCACATATTGTATGATTCCATCTATATGAAATGCCCAGAATAGGCCAATCTGTAGAGATGCAAGTAGATTAGACAGTGGTTGCCTAGGGTGGGGAGTACGAACAGGGGAGTATCTGCAAATGGGCACGAGGGTTCTTTTGGGGGGTAATGGAAATGTGCTCAAATTAGATTATGGGATGTTTGCACACCTCTGTAAATTTACTAAACATCACTGAACAGTATATTTCAATGAATGAATTTTATGGTCTGTAAATTATACCTCAATAACACTGTTTTTGAAAAACCCTCTTTGTTTCTTCTTTTCCAATATAGTTTATTACAGGATATGGAATATAGATCCCGGTGTTATACAGTAGGACCTTATTGTTTATCCATTCTATATATAATAGTTTGCATCTGCTAATCCCAAACTCCCACCCCATCCCTCCCCTACCTCCCCTCCCCCTTGGCAACCACAAGTCTGTTCTCTATGTCTGTGAGTCTGTTTCTGTTTCGTAGATAAGTTCATTTGTGTCATATTTTAGGTTCCACATAGAAGTGATATCATATAGTATTTGTCTCTTTCTGACTTACTTCACTTAGTATGATAATCTCTAGGTCCATCCATGTTGCTAAAAATGGCATTATTTCACTCTTTTCTATGGCTGCGTAATATTCCATTGCATGTATATACACCATATCTTCTTTATACATTCATCCGTCAGTGGACATTTAAGTTGCTTCCGTGTTTAAAAAACCCTCTACTCTTGATTCTATCTGCTCAACCTGCTCCTTCTCCAGTCTTCTTTTCCTCAGAAAGTGGCCCCGCCATCTATGGGAACTTCAACATCGTCCTGGACTCTTCCTTCTCTTCACCTGTCACACTCAACCCAAGTCCCGTTGGCTCTTCTTCCAAAATACCCGTGGACTCTCCACTGTGCAAGCCACCTTTCTCCTGCAAGCCTGCTGCAGAAGCTTCCTAAGGGTTCTCCTTCACTCTTGCCCCTCTCCAGTGTACTTTCACACAGCACTCCAAGTCCTCTTAAAACATAAAGCACTTCCCCACCATGTTTAAACTCTTCCCATTAAGCCTACAGTAAGTCCACACTCCCCCCACCCCACTCTGTGGCCTACAAGGCTCCACCTGACTCTCCTCAAGGCACTCTGCTTGTCCTAAGACAACTCATTCTACCACAGAGCCTTTGCACATGCTGGGCCTCTCTGCAAAAATATACTGTGCTATGCATAGGCACACAGTAAGATCGCCTGCTCATTCTTGGAAAGGCCTGCCCCTTTTTCTGAAATAATAGCCTTCATACTTTTTGAAAATATCAAGGATGGTAAGGAGAGGTGTAGTTTGTTTTGCCAAGTAAAGAGATAAGACATTAGTACATCCCTACAGTCCATAAGTTTTTTTTTTTTTAAATTCCAGGAAATGTACAGGTCTGAAATCCCGTGTCTCTGAACCACTGCAATACTCCATGCAGTCTGTTCACTGTATTAGGTGTCTACGCACTGGAGAAAGAAACATGAACAAGGCAGGGTTCTACTCTCACAGTTCAGAGCCTAATAAAAGAGGAAATACCTAAACATGTAATTTCAATTTAACGCGGCACAGTGATGGAGGGTGGGCTGATGTAACAGAGTGATGCTGGCAAGAAGGGCAGAGGAAGCCCAGCTACCAGCAGAGACGTCCTCAAAGTCCACAGGTGTGGGCGCTTGTTAGCAGGAAGAGAGCCTTGTCAGCGATAACATGTGTTTAGAAGGGGAGGTGGCAGAGGGGTACCACTGCTCACGGTTAGGAAGGCGTCAGCCCGGTAAGAGCAGGTAACTGGAGCAGTTCAATGTTATGGTTGGCTGTAAGAAGAAAGTACTATTCAATGTAACTAACAGCACTGGTGAGAAGTTTGGAAATATGCAAGCTCTTTTATTTCAAAATATGGGGCACTTGTTACTATGCTAGTAAGCGAGTCTTCTGGGGGGGGGGCTTGGCAAATCCATCATTTCTGCATGTATTTCTCTCATGCAACACACAAGAGTCCTAAGAGATGGGTATTAGCAGCCTCCAGGTGAGGATACTGGGAATCAGGCACTCCAGAAAATTGCTGGGGTCACATAGCGAGCAACTGGCAGAATTAGGATTCCAGCTCAGGCCAGCCAGGTGCCACAGAGCCTCGACTACATTAAGCTACAGGTAAAATTAATAGTGCAGCCCTTATAGACCTCTTTTGACAAGGTTTTTGCAATCTACTCTGGATACCTTTTCTGTGAGAGACTCAATAGCTCAGTAAGACTGATAGAGTTCTACAGCCTCCTAACAATTACACCCAAAGGAGTAGTCGTATAAACAGGCGTATCAGACCAGATGAATCCGCCAGAAAACGGAAAATGTCAGCTGGGGATCTCTCACCTTAACCATTCTTAATTTCTTAGGAAAACAAGTTGGAGTGAAAAATCAACTGTCTAGATCCAAAAGAAGTTAGTATTAAAGATGTTTACACGAAGGACCGTTTCTGAGTTAAATGAAAACATAGGTGAGTGAAAAGTGTCAGAGTCACCCTCCCTTGAGCCAGAACACTTATCAGTAGATAATGATCCTCAGTAACAGCACAGAAACACTCATCTGCAAGTGGTTTAATCAAGTAGGGCACGTGATTTTGAATCGGGTCTTTCAGAGTGGTAATTAAATTGAGGTGGCAAAAATGTAAGATACATAATGGGAGAAAGCCTTGGGGGCAGAGGAGCGCCTCCACTGCCTTACCAAAATATGCTGCAAAGATTCTCCCAAGTGTAGGGCAGCTGTCCCAGGTTAGGGAAACACCTGAGGGTAACAGACTCCATAAGCAGCGGCACTGAGTTGGTAAAAGACCATCCAGGAAGGCAGCAGCTGGCAATCCTGCAAGACGGAGGGGCCAGGCGGCTGAGCGCGCACTACGGCTGGGATCCCTTCTCCTGCGGACAGTCGGGAAGACTTGGGGGGTCTTCCCTTAACAGGAAAGCCTTCAACTTATAAAGGTCTCGATCCCTAGCCCTGCTCCCCGACCAGGACCTCGAGCAAACAAAGCCGCGGCTTCGGCATCCGCCGGCCGCGGTGAGGGGCGGCCGGGCCGTGACCCACCTGACCTCCACCTGCCGGACGAGAGGCCACGCCGGGCCCGGCCGCTCTTCCTTCGCTGCGGGGAGCCGGGGGAACCGGGAGGGGACCCCGCTTAGCCTCCCGGGCTGTTCCTTGCGGGGCCGGGGCCGGAGCCCACGCCCACTAGCGGCCTCGCTAGGGCCGCCCCCGCACTGCAGCAGTGAGCGCCGGCGGGCCCCGGCAGCGCTCGGGGGAGCCACCTGCACACCAGGCCCGCCTCCAAGGCGCCGCCCGAACCCTGTGCACCCGGAGAGGAAGCACCTGCCGCTCACGGACCCGCAAGAGGAGACGCCCCGGCTCCCTCGGCTTCGCCTGGCGGCCGAAGGCTCCGGCCTGACTTACCGGCGGCGGCGGCCTTTCTCAGCGGGCGCGCCCACGGGAGGCGCGGAGGAGCCGAGCTGGACGCCAAGGGTTAAACGATCGGCAGCTGCGGCGCGGCCGGCAGCCGGAACAGAGGAGGAAGCGCAGCTCCCGAGCCGCAGCAGCCGCGGCTCCAGGACACTGGGCGGGCCGGGGGGGACGGATCTTAGACGCTTGGGGGCGGGGACAAGGGCGGGCCCTCGGTGCGTGGGGAGGAGCCTAGAAGGGCTGGGCCGGGAGGCGGGCCCTTGGCGTATAGGGGCGCGGCCAAAGGTGGGGCTTCTCTGCGGACGGGGCGAGGCGGGGCGGAGAGGCGGGCCCTCGGCGCGTGGGGGGCGTGGCTAAGGGAGAGCGCTCGGTGAGTGGGGCAGAGGCCGGGGAGTGTCCTCGACGCTCGGGGCAGGGCCCGGAGGACGGGCCCTTGGCTTGCGGGGCGGGACCAGGAGGCGGTACCTCGGCTGGCGGGGTGGGTCCCGGGGGCGGGTCCTCAGCGCGCGGGGGCGGGTCCTGAACGCGGACTCCAGAGCGCAGGGCTCCCACCTCAAGTCTCCCGCAGCTTCCCGGCGGCGGGCGTCGCTCTCAGCGAGAACAACTAGCTCCTGCCCTCGCCGCGGGTCTGCTTCTGGGGAGACATCGCACAGGTTGGGGGGAGGTTTGGCTCCGCCTCTCATCTGGGCCTTCCCCCGACACACCCAAATGGAAGGGGACGTCGGTCAGTGAATCAGCCGGCCCAAAGAGAGGTTTGGAGTTACAGACAAGGAGAACCGATGGACCCGAGAAAGGTGGGCTCCATGGCACTTGGCCATCGGGACTACACCCAAACTCTCGGGGAGGAAGCGAAATGAACCCTTCTGTACACGCTCGGGCCGCTGGAGGTTTGGGGACCCTGGTAAGGTGCGCCGGCCCCACAGGCCGCACTCTTCCGACCCTTGGCATCTGAGAAGGTGAGGTGGATAATTCCTGGAATGAGCTTCTTAATGTGGGCTCTGGCTCAGAAAGGAGACCTCACATCAAGTCTAAAGAGCATTCATGTTTCCAGATAAACTCTAACCCCTTCCTGTCATCCTCAGGAGCCTTCGGACCTGGACAGTCCAGATGCACCCAACCTGCTCTGACAGCTGCAGAGCGAGAAGCACCTGATGACGGGACTCAGGCACGTTTCACCTGAGCATCCTGATTGCACCGGCTCAGGCTCCCAGCCAACCAAAACAGTGGCACCTGTTGATTGAGGTTGCGATTTCTATGGAAGCCTCTAACAATTTAACCCCTCACTGTCCCCTGAGAATTTTCAGACCTAGTTTGGGGCTCATAAATGCTAGGCCATCCATGAAAGAGTTTGGGGGGGTGGGAGTGGGGAGTCCATGAACACGCTGAAATTGTGTAGAATATTTTGGGTTTATGTATGTTTCTGGAGAAAGAGTATAGAGTGTATCAGATTCCCGAGGGGATCTATCACCTCCCCCCAAACATCAAGAATGTTTTAATAGTTTGGGATGCTGGACCTCTCACCAGCCAGGCTTCTGATTCTGATTCCATCTCCACCCAATTGGCATATACCAAGTGTCCCAGATGTAAATCCGCTAATGGTCAATTATAGGAATGGTCTTAAAGTAAAAACAGAAGAAAACTAAAGGATTGAGCATTTGCAAGACAAAGAATTAATTTCATGAAAATTGATTTCCTAATGAAGATGCGATAAGCTCCATCTTTACAAAAACAAAGTTGACAAACAGGTGTTTCTTTTTTTTAGGTTTCTCAAATCCTAGCCACACTGCACATGGCATTGAACTAACAGAGATAAAAGAACTGCTTATACCCACCATTAAGGAGAGAGAATCAGTTTGTGCCAAAACCACCATGTACAACTTTGTCTTAGTGCATTTATATAAAATAAAACACTTCCCTTATAGTTAGGTCACCTAGCTCTGAAGAATGCCAGGTGTGTGGGAGGTTAATATAAATTAACTTTGACAAATAAGGGTAGTGTAAACCCTTAAAAGAACTCCATTTATAATCAGGATTATATGTAAATGTACAGCACTAAGATTTAAAAGTTTATTGTTACAAGGATCTGTTTACTTGGGTCAAGCTGTCTTGTCACCCTTGATGTACTGAGCTGTGTTCATCTGTTTAAGACATGTAAATAACATAGGTTCCTTGCATAATAATACTCAAACTAATTAGGGCACTTCAGATTTAACTTAAATCAGAATTTTACCCCTTTTGAGAGTGAAGAAAGCACTGTAAATCAGAGGAAATGGGTCAGGCTGGCCCACCTATCAGGAAGATTGGCCCAGGGAAACTCATTCTGAGTTTCCGTGTGCAGATACTGGTGACCCTCCAAGCCCGTCTCTTCTCCACCCATCTTTGTAGAAATCTTGCATAGTTCTGAAGTTGATGCTCTTCCCACTTTGTGGTTGACTTGCAGTAACGAGTAAACCTTTGTCAGGATCGTCATTATCACCTGCTTTGATCTCCACTGTATCACTGTTTGGGCTCTTGGGCTGTCACAATCCTGTTACAGTTCAGTAGGTGAGGGCAAAGTCTACAGACCAGGTCTAAAGCTGATGCTGTGTGTGGGTTTCCCACACGGGTGTCAACCTAGAAAAGTATATCACAGAGAAGCTGATGTGGATGGGATCTCGGCACCATTTGGTGCCTAAAAACACGTATGAGATAATCCATTTAAAATATGCCACTTTAGGGAACTCCCTGGCAGTCCAGTAGTTAGGACTCCACACTTTCACTGCAGAGGGTGCAGGTTCGATCCCTGGTTGGGGAACTAAGATCCCACATGCCGTGTGGCACGGCCAAATAAATAAATAATAAAATATGCCACTTTAAGACCGTATTTCATGTATCTACTTTATGGAAAAGTTCACACAGAGGCTGGTCTGGGGATCTAATAACCATATGGCTTACAAATCCCTTAGATTCAATGTATCATCTTCCTTAATTTTTACACCAAGGGAGTTGCCTGTGGTCTTTAGACTCGTCATAGTGAAGCTGGATGTACCAAGTGCTAGGCACCAGGGAAGTTTTCTGTCAGACAGTCCTGGATACAATTCTGACTCTTGGCTCTTAGTTGTGTGATCTTGAATAAGTTAATCAGCCTCTCCAAGCCTTTATTTCCTCACTTGAAAAAAATGACATTAATCCCTACCTCAAAGGACTGTTGTGAGAATTATGTAAAACAATGTCAGGGGCTTCCCTGGTGGCACAGTGGTTGAGAGTCCACCTGCCGATGCAGGGGATGCGGGTTCGTGCCCCGGTCCGGGAGGATCCCATATGCCACGGAGCGGCTGGGCCCGTGAGCCATGGCCGCTGAGCCTGCGTGTCCGGAGTCTGTGCTCCGCAACGGGAGAGGCCACAACAGTGAGAGGCCCACGTACGGCAAAAAAAAAAAATAAAACAATGTCAGGAAAGTATTAAGCGTGACATATGGACTAGCACGCCATGAGTTCTCACTTCATGATATTTTTGCCTTTACAGCATACTATGAAATGTTTTCATGCACTTCTGTCCGTTAGATTCCTTTTGGTTGCAGGCAACAGTAAGTCACTTCAGACCAGCTTAAGGAAAAGGGAAACTTCTTTAAAGGATACAAGAGTTTCTTAGAGCATCTCTTAGAACCTAGGATCTCAGGGATGGTCTGAAGCTGGGGAATGGATGCCACTGTGAGAAGAGGGGCCATCTCTCTTTGGGCCACGCTGTAGCTGCTTTTCTTTATCTTTTTTTTTTTTTGCGGTACGCGGGCCTCTCACTGTTGTGGCCTCTCCCGTTGCAGAGCACAGGCTCCGGACGCGCAGGCTCAGCGGCCATGGCTCATGGGCCCAGCCACTTCGTGGCATGTGGGATCACCCCGGACCGGGGCACGAACCCGTGTCCCCTGCATCGGCAGGCAGACTCAACCACTGCGACACCAGGGAAGCCCCCTGTTGCATTTTTGTTGTTTGGCTACCCATTCCTTCTGAAGTCTTGACTCCCTTGCAAACTTTCTTTGCAAGTATATTTCTTGTCTTTTCTAAGAACCTTTGGTCGCCAGGTTTTTTTCTGCAGGGTATAACCAGAACGCAGGAGGCTGCTTGCAAAACCAATCTCATTTGAAAGCAGTGGAGTTGCCTGTTGTCAGAGAGACCGCAAAAGGGGCCCAGGGAGGGGCATCTGAAGAACCACCCTGGGCTGTATCTTACAGGGGAGCAGAATAGGCTAAGGAGAAAATATCTGCATGTGTCAGAGCAAAGAGGTGGTCTGGACAAAGTTGCCCAGGCATGAACTAGATGAAGAGTGGCAGGGCAACCTTGCAAACTTTCTGGGAAGAACACAGGATGCAAAACCCAAACGGAAAACCTATTATGGAAGAAACCATAACCCAACAAAATAAGGACCTTCCTCCCGAGTCCCTCAAGCCACACAACTTCATAAGTGTAAGAACCAATTTCAATGTACTCACATGTAGGAAAACAGAATGAGATCTAAAGCAGGGTTGCAGAACTAAGGAAACAGGATAAATCACCATGCTTATAGAGTCGACAACCTGGAAACAGCAAGGGACACCTGGAACGTGGCTGGGACCCGCTCTGCAGCCCTGGGACCTCTCAGGAGGCTAGTGGTTCTCTAAGTGCCATCCCAATACCAGCAGCACCTGGGAACTTGATAGAAATGCCCACTCTTGGGCCCCAATTCCAGGCAATGTTTTAACACACCCTCCAAGTGATTGGGCTGCCCTCTAATATTCGAGAACCACCGGACTATGTGCATCTCCCTCTCAGGCTAGAGCTTGGGCAGAGCAAAATTGCTCAGCTCCATTCCAGAACTAGACACTTTCCTTTTTCTAAAAAAAATAAATTGATTTATTTATTTTGGGCTGTGTTGGGTCTTTGTTGCTGTGTGCGCGCTTTTTCTAGTTGTGGTGAGCAGGGGCTACACTTCGTTGCGGTGCACGGGCTTCTCATTGCGGTGGCTTCTCTTGTTGCAGAGCACGGGCTCTAGGTGTGCGGGCTTCAGTAGTTGTGGCGCACGGGCTTAGTTGCTCCGCGGCATGTGGGATCTTCCTGGACCAGGGCTCGAACCCATGTCCCCTGCATTGGCAGGCAGATTCTTAACCACTGCGCCACCAGGAAAGTCCCAGAACTAGACACTTTCTCATCGATGCCCCGCAAGGACAGAAACAGAATCGGACTACAACACCAGAATTCATTCATTCCCCAAACATTTATTAAGCCTCAAGTGCCAAAGCAGACATTCACCAGGTTTGGACGACTTTGTCCCGGACTAGCTGCCCGTGAGGCCCGGTGGCATCTGGAGGCAGGAGGGCCAAGTAGACGGGAGTCTCAGCCCCCTCCTCCACGGTCCTGGAGCCGTGAGCTCCCACCACGTCCGTCTTCACCCACCCGGGGCAGCATGCGTTCAGCAGAATCCTGTCCGCTTGTCTCTTCTCATCCAGACGCTGGGCCAGGATTCTCGATAAGACCGTGACCCCCAGTTTGGACACCCCATAAGCAGAGTTGGGCCAGCCCTCCTTCTCATGCACCTCATTTTTCGTGTCCTCCACGAACTTTTTCATGAGCTCCACCAGGTCTTCCTCTGTGAGTGTCTTACATCGGAACTTCTCCTGCAGATCTTCGCTGCAATTTTCAAGGGCTTTGGAACCCTGTAAACTACTGACATTCACCACTCTGCCTGAAACAGAATAAGAAAAATATAGAAGCATGTCACAAATAAACAATCGTTGGTTGACTACTGACAAACATGATTGAGTCATGGGGCAGGTGTAATTGCTGATTTAAACAATGATTCTAGGGCTTCCCTGGTGGCGCATTCGTTGAGAGTCCGCCTGCCGATGCAGGGGACACGGGTTTGTGCCCCGGTCCGGGAGGATCCCACATGCCGCGGAGCGGCTGGGCCCGTGAGCCATGGCCACTGAGCCTGCGCATCCGGAGCCTGTGCTCCGCAGCGGGAGAGGCCACAACAGGGAGAGGCCCGCGTACTGCAAAAAAAAAAGATTCTAATAAATAAATAGCCAAGCATTTTAAGCCCTTTTAAAAAAATAAAGATTCTAGAAGGCATTAAAAAAAAACCTCCAAAGGTATTCAAAAATGCCTCAAGAATGCACCAGTGGGTTTTAACTTTTTGTCCTTTGTTCTCCCAAAAGGAAGAACACATTTCTGTCAATAACAGGGGCTAAAGCGCAGTGATTCATTAGGTGAGCAGAAGGTAGGTCTGTAGGAGAATCACCAGGTAGTTTTATAAAACACACCCTCCTACACACACACGCATTTCCAGGTACTTGTGAACTTGCTTTCCGGGGGACAGCGCCCTCACCCTTAGATTATTTCCTAGGGTCCTGGGGCCACCTCTGTACCCCTGAGTGCCAAAATCAGGTTTAAGCAATCCCTTGCCAATGACCCTTGTCTATCCTTAATGATGGATACTTTCACATGTGGAATGGGTTGATTCTCCATCCCAGTTTTGATTTTCATTCCTTTTCTTAGCCCATAGTTAACAAATAATTAAATATAATTAGTGAGTTCATATTCATATTAGCAATGATTCACAGCTACTAATGAGACAGATCTGTCCATAAAATAAAATATGAAGGCCAAAAACTAGAAAATAATTTGAAGCATTGATAGAAATCCCCAAACCAGTGAACGTGTGAATTTACACATTCTGTCCAACATCAAAAAGCACCAAATTTGGGGGGTTATTTTCTCACATATTATACTGAATCCATATTCTTTGCATCCAACAGGATAATTGGATTTTATTTCATTTTCTGAGTGGCATTCACCACAGGTACACATTTGTTGGTGGGGTGTGTACATGCTGGGAGATTCTTGTGGGCCCAGCCCCATAGGGAGATGCCCTCACTCTGTCCTTGTACATAAGCATCTCACATAGCCCGCAGGGACCCAAGACTCTTCAGTATATTATTTCCTTCCTTCCTTCTCTCTGTCTCTCTCTGGTAATAACATAGTTCTTTCCCAACTTTTTTTTTTGTGTGTGTGCGGTACGCGGGCCTATGACTGTTGTGGCCTCTCCTGTTGCAGAGCACAGGCTCTGGACGCGCAGGCTCAGCGGCCATGGCTCACGGGCCCAGCCGCTCCGCGGCATGTGGGATCTTCCCAGACCGGGCCACGAACCCGTGTCCCCTGCATCGGCAGGTGGACTCCCAACCATTGCACCACCAGGGGTGCC